CGTCTTAGGAGTTATCGTACCAACTGGCTTTGAAAGTGCTACATCTCATGGAATGGTAGAGGGCTGTAGGTGCTCAGTACATCCTGCACTCCAATGTAAGTGCTGCCATAACAGCCGCAGCATTGGCAAGCAACCAAGTGCACGGCCTGCGCGGAGTAGGTACAGGGCATGAAATTCGTGTCTGTGAGACGACATAGCTTTTTCTAGCTAGTTAGCGCGACATGCTGCAGCCACGGCACATCACCTCGTTGTGGGAAAGTTCTCGATGGAGACACTCTTGATAAAGAATGATATAGCTTGATAACACTTGATAATGCGCGATCGATCATGGTAAGTGTTAATAAAAGGTGCTAAATTGAACAGACTGACCAATCAAAGGGATGAACGTTGACGTTGTAGGCATTTGGTCGGACACCATTAACATTAGGATGGACATCGACAACAACGTCGTAATTCCTAGCGATACTTTCTCTTCACGCATTCCACTTGCAGAGGACGTTCTGGAAACATCTCGTGAAAACCTCAGCTGAAACTCGTCGGACAACATTACAATAAATTGTAAAACAGGAAGGAGGGGTGTGGAGAGTTACTTTCGAACCACGGCATCGCGCAGTAGCTTTCCCCTTTCTAGTTGACTGGATATACGCAGACAAGGAGAGAGCATGTCGACTTGGAAGAGGCAGGCACAGAGAGAGTCGAGAGAGCCGCTCAATGCCACGTTGAGCGGATTGGGTCCTGGAGCGAATACTGCGCACACCTCGCTTGCATCGCCTATATTGTCGCACTTGCCCCGATTTGAAAGTAACGCTCCACAAAAGGAAGAAGGGGAGGAGCAACCGGGTGCTGCTGCGCGACGTCGCGCGGTGTGTGTGTCGCGCGGAACTCATGCGCATTTCCAAGTAGCGACACAGCCGAAATGTGCAGTTGCTCTTCATTAATTCCGACTGACAGGAGAGTACTTCGTAGGTTGGGCCGCCCAGAGGAAGGAGTGGAGTGGCATTTGGTTATTTGCTGTGATGAAAGATGTTTTCGGTTTTGCTTTGTTTTAATTTCTATGAGCTGTATACCTCTTCCCCCACACTAGTTTTTTTGGGGAAGAAGTGGGGTATTTGTGGAAAGAAACTTCGGGAATGTGATAAAAGTCGTACTAGAGTAGCAAATTTTCGAAGAGGGGGGGTGTTCCGGTTTCGCAAAAAAACGTTCCCAACGGCAGAACTTACCCTGATTGGAAGCTACGCAAGGTGCAGTTTGACGACGGGGGGAAGGGCATTTTGCACTTTCGCTACTTGCCATGGACGTGTCGACCTACCTGGACAGCCTCTTCTCGAGTCGACAGG